TCTCTCTCTCTCTCTCTCTCTCTCTCTCTCTCTCTCTCTCTCTGTCGCATCGTGACGCTGCAGCCTTAGGGTGGCCCACGGCGCCACGAGGACCACTGAGGCCCCCACAAACAAACCGCGTGCAAGTCACGCTGCTGCCTCGCGCGCCGCCGACACGCCGTAGATGCAGTGCTGCGGTCCTGCGGTCGGGTTGTGATCAAGCCGACCGCTCTGAGGCCGATTCTAATAAAATAACGCGAGAGCCTCCATTTTTGTTTTTTACACCTTTTACCGAGCGTGTAGTGTCTTTGCAGCGACACAACGCGCATGAAGTGTAATGTAGGGAAAGGCTAACACTAACAATTAAATCCTACGACATTTTGCATTATATCATTTTTAAGAAGTGTGTGTAAAAAGGGTAAACGTTGCCGTAAACTATGAACCCTAACAAGCCTACGGTCTATGGACTGAAAAAGCACAGGCATAGGGATTCCAACGGCCGCCAATCGAAACCTCAGTCTTAGTCTAGTCTCACTATGGTGTAAGTTATGTTTTGATTAGACGTACATAGTGATGCTAGGAACCCTTAAATTGATGTAGATAAAAAGACATCATCTACAAAAAAAAACTCCGTAATTTGACGTTCAGAATCTACCAAGTCCCGCCTCCGATAGGTCTCATAGCGCCTAACAGGTAGGCAACGTTTTGCTTGTATTGCATGCGTGTACTGCGGAGTGGCCTACACCACATCTCGCAGGCGCCAAGCTCCAGTACAGTAATTTGCCAAGCCAAGGAAAAACAAACCCGACGTAGTTTCTGGGACTTTTCTTATGTATATGTTCAAACACTTTTTTGTCGGTACATTCATATTTTTTCTGGGTAAGTAAAAGTCAAACTTTTCTAAACAAGTTATAAAAAAAAAAAAAAAAAAAAAAAAGATTTTTTTCTGGATAGGTTGCGTCTTTCCCCCAGAAAATTCCGAATGCTTGCTTGCTACTTACCCTCTTGAGGGGCGGCCTGGAGCGGATGAACTCGAGGATGAGGGCGTGCGCGTCCTTCTTGACGGTGTGCGGGATGTCGGCCTGCGACACCTTGTTGAGCGTGTACCGTCTCGAGCGGATGTCGTCCATCAGGATCTCGTACGGCGTCAGCTCGAACTCGACGGGCGTGCGCGTGTAGTGCACCTTCTTGAGCTGCACGCCGTGCCGCAGCTCGCGGATCACCTGGCCCCATAGCCGCGCCTGGAAAAAGCAAAAGGTTCCAGTAAAATAAACAATAAACAACACAGTATCTAAGTGAGTAACGCCTTCAGTCCCCGAGAAATTATGGCAAATGACAAACGCACAAATCAGGAAACTATTCTTATTCTAACTTGTGAAATTAACTGTTTTTTTTTCTTGGTATCATGTTTCAAAATATTTCGCCATTTCCGAAATCCGATCACTTGATTGCAACCACACTTAAATTTGTAGGAGAGAACAAAAAATAAACATAGAATCATTACAAGCTTAATAAGGAAGAACGACGACTTTAGCGATTACTTAAAAACTTGAAAACAAAACAACATACAAACAACAGCAAAAAAAAGACAAACACAGGCAATGTAGCACGGCAATGAGGTGAACATAATTACTCTCGCTAAACGCGCTCTGTTCTCGGGAGAACCATTCTCACTTATTCGCGGCACGTAAGGCGCGGG